ACAGTTGGTAGTGAATGAAAATCTATACCCGACTATCTTTGTTCAAAAAATCCATCTTTTGAAAAGAAACTTCGAACCATTTTACCATCAACGATGAATTTAGATGAACTAAGAGATATTGCTATTCGTATGCATAAAATTATGTCGATTGACATAGTACAATCTCTCTGGATAGTCTACCGAAAATATGGTATGGAAGAAATACCATCCAAGCGACCAATCAATGTATCTGATACGAAATTTTGGCCAAAAGAAGTTTCATCACTCATGAAACAGTTAAAAAATGATAATATTATCGATGAAAGTAGTTGTTTAATTTTTGCTAATCAATGTTTACAAGAATTGTACAATAAAAAGGAACATTATCGACACGAATTAAATGTCAAGACCACTCGTTTATCTGGTTATAACTGTAGCATGGAATATACCATTGAAAAATTTGTACAACAAGGACTTCAATCTTTACATATTGAAATCAATGAATATATTGCCACGATTCAATATCATTATACCAATTTAATATTTCAACACACTTATTTTGCTCAAAATCCTAATACAAATCAAGTAAACTTCTTTTATAGCGAGCTTATTTTATCTTACTATTTTAGATACAATCTTCGTTCTTAATCATATAAAAAAAGAAATTAGATAGGAAAAACAAAAACTTCTTTTCATTCAGATCCTTCTCTCTTTCAGATAGAATCTTGACGCAAAAAACAAAAATATAGTCAGTATAAAATACGAAAGAATAGCAAAAATTCAAAATATTTTCTATTGCATATGGATTTCAATACAATTGATTTAACTCGAGCAGAACAAGCTACTTCTTTGTTAATTAATAATGAACAACAAGAATATCAATCAAGAACATTATTAGATAAAAATAATGGACGATATGCTTATTTACCTATATTTCCAACAGAATATGTTGGTCCAAATGAGTGTTTACTTTTGGCTAATGTACCAGGTTCGTATGTTCGATATAAATTGATTATAAATGATTTCATTTCATTGTCTTTTAGTTAGTCGTCTTGCACCTCATCAAATTAATCGACGTCAATATGGAGCCTATACGTTCAATGCACTGATGCTGATGAATAAGTACAATTATTCCGATGAATTTAGTTTATCTGAACACGATGCTAATGAATTAGCTTCACGATTACAAGTAGGCAAATCAATAATTACTTTCAATGCACAACGACTTCGTAGCATCTGTCATACTCTTCTTGCATTTCATGAATCATTTCGACGATATGTTCTATGTAAGAGTGATGTTGCTCTAAAAGAACCAACACCCAATTCGAGACAAATGGCTATGGCATTGAAATTCTATTTACAAATCGATGGTTAGTCTTCATCTCGATATATATGATGCATATATGTTTCATATTTTTTAGTGGATTTATTCTATATGAAAACTTGTTCGTTTCGAGGAGCTCAACCTCCATCTAATATAGAAGGTCTATTTTGTGGAAGAGATGAACCTCAAGCAATATATTCATTGGTTCCATGTGATAATCTTTTTTGTCAATGTTGTCTTCCATTAAATACTTACAAGAAAAGTCAACCATGGCCAATTGTTAATTTTGCTTCAAGTTCAATGCATCGATTTCTCAATGGTTATACTACCTATCTCAATTGTCCAGCAGTATGTTGTCCTTAAATGTTGAATTTTATATCGATCGACTATGACTAAAATTTAGGCATGTACTACATCGAATATAATTTATGCCATGACATGTCCATGTGGTCATTATGATTATGTTAATTCAACAGCAAAAACATTGGCTGATGCTATGGCTTGTAAATATAAATTTTCTTACGATAATCATGAGCATGCCTTTATTTCTCTTCTTCATTTTCTTATAATATTACAGATCATCGAGAACATGGCAATCGAATTATACATGAAAAATTAACTGGTAGTCCTCTATTTCGAGGATCACAAATCGATCCTAATGAAAGAGAGTAATAAAAGACATTCGATCATTCTTTCCATTATGCTACATATTCATTGTTTTCTTTTTCATTGTTGTAGAAACGAAATGGCGAACCAAATGCGTCTCTATCAACATGCAGCTCGTTGTCCAGAAGCACTTCGTTCATTTCTTGATTGTAATCCTATGTATTGGTGTTTTATTCCTCTACCTTGGGATGAAGCAGTAACAGAAAATGTTGTTAATCGTCCGGGAAATTCTACTACAGATCCCAATCTGGATGCTGTGATAGCAACTACTGCCGCAGACAATCGTAGGGTGGCCAATTATCTAGATAAAGTACCATTACCACCAGCTTCCTATGCCTTCTCATTTCGACAGCTAAAACAACAGCGTCTATTTTTCGAATGATTTGCTACGTCTTCCATTCATTACCGACCTTATATCAAATTAGATTTGTATAACATAGCAATTATTGCCGTTTGTAAGTAAATCTATCTTTATCAACCACATCATCATCATCATTATCATTTATACCTGTTTTTCTTTCACATTGATTTAGTACCAGATGATTGTTCAATGATACTACGATACATCATCGAAACATTATTCATTATTCATGGTGAAACTAAATTGAATATGATTTGTTCACTTGGTGGTGATGCTGAAAAACGTTACGGTCCTTCGTATAACCTACATTGGTGTGCTAATTTGAATAATTCATCAATGTAAACCACGACATCAACTCAGTGACCTTTTAAAACTACAATGGTTACTATTATAAAATAACATTTAATCAATATAAGCAACTTTATTTACCTCGTAGATATTAGTTAATCTTTAGTGTTTGTAATCTGTGTGCGAAATAGTTAACCTTAGATTAATAAAATACATTTGCGCACTTCTTCTAATATCATACTAATATATATAGTTTCATTCTAGATAATTATAATCTTGGAAGCACACTTACTAGTTTCCTACTCAACTGAACAAATCCATGACATTCTCATTATAAATCCACCCATATCACTACCAAATACACGACAAATCAACCTAGGTTCGCTCAACATTTATACAGATTATCAGACAACGGCTTGATTGAAACCAAAACATCAATCTATATACCAAAAACCTATCTCCACTAGCTCTGCATTAGGTATCAGAACTGCGACAATACCACATCGGAAACATTATCCAGAATAAACAAACATAATCAATGAAACACAAATAAAAAAAAAACAACACCATCGGATGAAATTACCAGTCCACTCCAAAACGAACTCACATATTTCAAACACTTACCAGATTATCCCTAAAAAAACACTAAAATTACAAGCACTAACAAACCATTTGACATACTGCTGCTTCATAAAACTGCTCGCCATTTCCATTAATCCATCCAACTCGCACTAAACTACCTTCATTCCATCTACACTATCGAAACAACAAACGCCAAACCGGATACTACACATACCAACAAACAAAAATCTTCCGACAGAAGATTCTACGCTACTTTTCCATAGATTTATAAACATCTATTCCTTCCCAAAACAAATCTCTCTGTGCCACAAAAAACACTATCAACTATGTCATAACAACGCTCAAAAATCTACGCTGAATATCATTCTTTCCGATTCGACTGCTTTTATACTCCAAATCGTAGCAGCATTTCCCACAATATCCTTTACTTACACAATTGCCATCCACATATCATATTTACTTAACAATTCTATCTTAAAACCTACCAATTCTCCATAATGTGTTCTACAAAATATCGCTAACCAACAACCCCTTCCAGCCCCACTTCCGATATGAGCTTCTGCAATCCATTCGCCCAATTCTCCAACAAAAACAACAAATCAGTTCACAAATACTTGCCATAAAATTATAACTGTTTCAAAACAAGCCTACTATCACTAGCACAGCTTCCATATAAACACACAACACATTAATCCGACCGCATGCTATTATAACTACAACTACAACACCGTTTCCTTAATTTACTTTCACTATTATCAAACTCACCATACTGAATTCACTCCTTTCATTTGAAAACACGATTTATATCAGTACAATTGAAAGATGAAAATTTTTATTGTGGTAACTCGAACACACACACATGGAGGTGTTTGTCGAAATTCTTTTCGAATTCCGAATTTGTATCTTATTTTTCATTTGAATTTTTCTGAAATCGAATCATCCTGAAACAGATACATCCCACTTGATAATATTTTATCAGTGCAACTAAAACACAACAATTTGTATTGCCGTAACTGTAACACATCCATATCTCACACTTCCATACCCACATCAAGACGTACACCCTCTTTGCTTAACTTTCGTTGAACTCTCTCAACATTGCAGATTTAAGGATTGAATTGCAGCACTATTTAATAGCCGAACTTACCTGATGAAGGCTCTTAAGCAAGGTCGAAACCGGTCGTAAGTATAGCTTGTGCTATTAAAAACGAAATTCATTTGTATACACACCCACACCGAACAAGAAAAACTCGATAGAAGATATAATACCAAAAAGTTTTGAGATTCCACCTGATGACGCTCGGACAAAACAGAAACAAACGCCCATTTGTCGTGGAACGGTCAAATTTCTATTCACCCAAACCCCAAATTTCACACAAAAGATTTTGGATTTCTCTTATTCTAGATCTAAATCATATCACTTCATCATTCTAACACAACACTCGACTTAACGTTTTACTGAAACAAAATTCATACAGAACAGTCAGGTAATCATACATGTATCACTCTTTTTTTTTCTTGGGGAGATTTAACAAAGTGTTTGTTGTTCGTTTTTAGGGATGGATACTATCAAGGACAATGGTAATAATGAAAAGAATACTGTTCCAACAAGTCAGAATATGGAAAACAAAGATTTGAATGGTTTCAATATGATTGAATCACGACTTCATGAATATGGACAAAAAGTATGAGAGATAGTTTTTTTTTCTAACTAAAGTACAATCATATTGCTTGGAATATGCATAGAATCAAACTTCTATAGAACACAATAGCTACAATGAGAAGAATAGCATGAATTGTATGTCGACAATATTAGAAGATGATAGTGATGACAGCGAAGAATGGATTTCCATTGATGATGATAATGATGATGACAATGATAGTGAAGATGAAGATAATAAGTTAACCTATCATCATAACGAGCCAGAAGAATTAAAAGACCTGGACTGGAATGATTTACCGAATTTTATTCGACGTAAATCCATCGCCAATAATATTATTATTAGATTACCATACAAGGGTACTCAATTTTACTTAGGTTCTGAAAAAGATTTTCAACAAAAAGAAACCGATTATATGAAACGAACAGGTGCTTACAAATTGATAGATAAACTAGATGGAATTCATCGAACTGCTAGTCAAACATGTCTAGCCGATATTGTCGAACAAGTAGAAATCAAATTGGATAATTTACTTGATTCAAAATGTATCGACGAAGTACACTATATGAAAATGAATATTAGTCGATTATCGGTTCGAATGCATTATCTTTATTTTGTACCAGAAAT